TTTATACCTTCAGGTAAAATTTTGGTGCTTCCTGGAGAGTTGAATAAGGAGATAACCTCATGGCATCTTTAGTTGATAACATGTTTCGACATATGTATCCAACATGCCATCACCGGTTTTGGAGTAACAATTTTCAACCCTTTTGCCCACATAAGTACAGTACTTCCGAGCTAAATATATAGAGAAATTATGCTAATTAACCAATATCCAAACCATTTAATACATATTAACTTAATCGTGCTTCTCTTATTCTAAGTCATCCATTCATGAATAGCTAATATACAGTGTCAGGCAACATGATAAGCCCCAAGAAGCTCATGAACAGGCTGGTGAGGATGAGGCAGAAGATGGAAGAAGTGAATGCGGGTAATTCTAATAAATCATCAGTCGCTGAGAAAGGCCATTTTGTTGTCTACACCATTGATCAAAAGCGCTTTGTGTTTCCCTTAATGTATCTCAACAATGACATCTTCCTTGAGCTATTGAAGGTGTCTAAGGAGGAGTTTGGACTATCAAGTGATGGTCCTATTACATTGCCATGTGATTGTAAGAATCAACATGCATGAAGAGTGGTGGAGATGGAGAATGAAAGCATGAAAGCATGGATTCTAAAACCGATTTTCAAACAAAGCTTGGAAAAGAGATTATACCTNGTCAATTCCCGTGAGAAACATTCTTGAGTGTGTGTGTGACCCAACATAACAGCTACATTTCCTTAGAATTCTCCAGCTTCAAAACCTTCAGAAACTTTCCCTGAAAGTTCTTGCGCTTGGCAGGTCAATGTGGTTCAAATACAGTCCTATCTCGTGCTACATGTTAGAAGCAAATCAATATTTTTGCAGTTAATCACAAATTGCTTAATGAGGAATTCAAATTTAGGAAGTTCTCTAAAAAATGATCCCCAGAGGCTTAGGAAAACCATTGACTTTTAAGAATTATGGTGAAATATCTTCAAATAAATACTACCAGTGAGCATTTTCTTAAGAGGACATAAGATAGGCTCCGACAGAGAAAAGATACTCATTCTGCTGACCTTACATGCCCTTTGGAGATTAAACCTAATTCCCAAAAGAGGAAGTTCACGGCTGCTTGCATGTCTTAATATAACCTTTTTTTTGGCTGATTGAAATGTAGTACTTTGATAAGACCTCCCATTAGTAAAATCTATCAATATAAAGGGCATAAAGGGCAGTAGGGTACTGGTTGTGTGAGTCGGCATGTGTGCTAGTGGGAGTTAGTTGGGAAATATCTCGTGATGGGGAATCAAGTTGTTAGTGGGAGGAATATTTTAGTTAAGGGATTAGTATATAAAGGGAGGGGAGTTTTAGGGAAGGATAGACATATTTTCAAAGGGTCATTAAGGGAGGTCCCTAGGTCCTCGAACTGCTGGGAATTATCTGTTCTTTGGCTTGTTGCTATTTCTATTTTGTTCCGTTAAAATCTCATTTCTATTCAATCAATACAATACAGTGTTAATTCTAGAATAGGATTGCCATTTTATGCATTTTGGACTGTTTTGTGGCTGCATTTGTTTTAAATTGACAGAGGTTCTCATCAATGGTATTAGAGCCAAGGTTAGGGAATGGTAAAAACGAAAATGGAGGAAGAGATTAGATCGATGAAGGAAGATTTGGGAACCATCAAAGAGTGCTTAAGGGAAAGGCTAGTCTGGATGAGACGTAAAGATGAAGAAGAAGCAAGAAGAGGTGAGGATAATGGGTCGACAGAAATCCCAGGAAATCAAGGATCAAACCAGGAAGATGTTAACGGAGAATCGATGAACACCGAAAGACCACAGCAAGAAATTGGTAGCCGAAAATTGGAGATGCCGCTCTTCACAGGGGAAGATCCTTATAGGTGGCTGTTTAAGATTGAGCGTTATTTCAATGTGTACAGAATCGCCGAGAAGGAGAGGTTGGCCACGGTGGTCGTTTGCATGGAGGGTGACGCGATCAATTGGTTCCAGTGGATGGAGGTGCGAGCTCCGGTGACGACATGGGCTGCCTTTAAACTTGCCTTGCTTCATTGGTTCAGTGGCTCACAGGAAGAAGGGTCGTACAAGACCCTGATGGGAATCTAACAGACTGGAACAATGGAAGAATATCACCAAAAGTGTGAAGCTCCATCTGCTCCATTGTGTGAAGAAAAAGAAGACATATTGTGGGCTAACTCCTTAAACGGGCTTAGACTAGAGATAGAAGCTGAAGTCAAATTGGGCCAGCCCAATTTATTAATGCAATTAATTGAGTTAGCCCAGAAAATAGAGGAGAAGAATTGGGCTTTAGAAGAAATGAAGTTTGGGCTTAATAGAGCTGAAAAACCAGTTGGGCTGTATGGGTTTAATAGAGGAATTATTTCAATTGGGCTGGGTAAACAGGGAATAACACATACAATTGAGTGTGGGCTTGAGCAATTGGAGAATGGACCTGGAAGTGGACTCGTGTTAGCTAGGTATGGGTCAAGGCGGGTAATTGGATCAAGAGAAATTGGATCTAAGGTTCATATACAACACAATCGCTCATTCGACAGCCCTAGAACATATCCATTTCTCAATCAACAGCGACACTCCGTCAACCCCTCGTCGGAGCTCCGACCATGGGAGGAGAGGCAGTCGAGCCCGGCGCTGATTTTTGGTCACCAGAGTATAAGCTGGACAGCTCTTCGAAAGATCGATTCCAACCTCTNGTTGAACGAGTTAGTCGAACGAACACGAACGAGTTACGAACGAACACGAACGAGCTTTTTGTTAATCGAACGAACACGAACACACATCCTGTGTTCGTTCGAACACAAACACGAACATGAACATGAACAATCGAACATGCTTATCGAACGATTTTCGAACGGGCTTGTTCGTTCATGTTCGGTTCGATTGCAGGCCTATCCACCATACCAGCATAGGTTTTGGAGCAACAAATTTCGATCCTTGTGCCACATAAGTACAGTACTTCTGAGCTATATATATATACACACGTAGTTGTTCTCTTATTCTACATTGTCCATTCACGAGTCCCCAATACACAGTGTCGGGCAATAGGCAGCATGATAAGCCCTAAGAAATTCAGGATCAGGCTGGTGAGGAAGAGCCAGAGGATGGAAGACGTGAATGCGGGTAATTCTAATAAATCATCAGTCGCTGAAAAAGGCCATTTTGTTGTCTACACCACTGATCAAAAGCGCTTTGTGTTTCCCTTAATGTATCTCAACAATGACATCTTCCTTGAGCTCCTAAAGGTGTCTGAGGAGGAATTTGGACTATCAAGTGATGGCCCTATTACGTTGCCATGTGATGCAGTCTTCATGGATAAATTAGTCTCACTCATTCAGCAAGGTGTTAGTGAAGGTCTCAAGAAAGCTCTGCTTGATTCGATTACTGCCAGCCACTGCTCATTATCTGCTTCTTTCCATCAGGTACATGCAGGCCAACTTTCAGTTTGTGGCTACTGAATTATATTATAATCCCAATTGGGTTCTGTAAATGAATGGAACTTCTGTGTATATATTGTTTTTGCACTATACATCTTTTGATAATTCAAAAGAAATTTTCAGTGTAAAATAGTAACTATGAAGTATGAATCAGTATAGCATATCAATAGAAAACATTAAGGATCAACTCCTTGAAACTTTTCTGAAAGTTCTTGTGCATGTTAGAAACAAATAAATATTTTGCACCTAATCTCAAATTGCTTAATGAGGAATTCAAATTTAGGAAGTTCTGTTAAAACTGATCCCCAGAGGCTTTGGAAAACCATTGGCTTTAAGAATCATATCAAATCTCTTCAAATAAGTACAGTGAGCTTTAATCTTGCAAGGACATATAGATAGGCTCAGAAAGAGAAAAGAAACTCATTCTACTGAACTTACACGCCCTTTGGAAATTAAGCCTAATTCCCAAAATGGAAAGTTCACCGTTGTGTGCTAGTCTTAGAACAACCAGCTTTTACAGTTGATTAAATGATGCTAATGTTGTAGTTTATGCCATGATTTGACTATGTAGAATGAGTTGCAACTTGTGTTGGCCTTAAGTGCCAGCAGATGCTTGGAGCCATCAAGGTTGTGCTCTTATTTAACTCAAGTTCCCAATCAAGGTGGGAAGAGAGGAAAAATGTGACTTAATGGAGAACATTAGCCAATTCTCTAAATTTCTTTATGTACGTTGGCAAAACTTCAAGTCCCTTGTACCACCCCTAGTTTTTGCTAAATTGTATTTTATTGCATCATACTCCTTTCTGGTCCAAATTAAGTGCATTGATAAATAACATAATTCACTATGAAATCATTGTTGAATAACAGTATTCACTATGAAGATGCATAAGACAGTAGGAAAAGACAAATAAAATACTTGGGAAAAATCCAAAGAATGGGGTCTGGCAAAACTAACTCCTTTGTCCTATCTGAGGAACATTATGTACGATATTATAAAAACTTGAAGGAATCATGGCAATTGAAGATCTGAAGAGGACAAATTTATTCGGGTAGTTGGGTTTGAAAGAAGCTGCAAATCATGTTATTTTATTTTCCTTTTGTTGGTTTCTATGTCTCTTTCATATTCAGTATTTAAATCATATAGTCTAACATGGATAATTACAATTGCTTTGCATTGTAATTCACAGCAAAAGGAAAGCACATGGAGGATTTTGGTCTAACAAGAGCAGAACATAGTTTGAATAACCATGTGATTTTGTTTGATTTCAGTTTTCTCTTAGGAATTAATTACTTAACCTAAGTGGCCCTAAGAATTTTAATGCAACACTCATGGCAGAAGAAAACAAATGCATAACATCCAAGTAATAGTATCCGACATGGGGTATTCATGCTTAACAATAATAAAAACATATTCTCTATATCCAAACCATCTATCTAGTTGATGATCACATGGCCTTGTTTCCAACCAACACAACACAAAGAAGGCAACAATAAGTGATCCTGGCCAGACTTGTATATATATATGTAACAGCTGACCACAAAAATAAGCTCTATAACGCAAACTTGTAGCTTGTCCAAGGTCGAAGTCTAATATTTCCAATCATGATCAACCCAAAAGGGCTTGTTGAATTGGCAAGAAAGTGGCAGAGAATGGCTTCTGCAAAGTGTAACAGAATCTCGTATCCAAGAAGTTTTGTTGCTAATAAAGGGCATTTTGTTGTGTACACAACTGATAAGAAAAGGTTCATGGTTCCCTTGGAATACCTCAGTCAAAATGTCTTCAAGGAGCTTTTAAGAATGTCTGAGGAAGAGTTTGGTCTTCCAAGCCATGGAGCCATCACTTTGCCTTGTGATAGTACTTTCTTGGAGTATGTCATTTCATTGGTCCGAGGACTCATGCCTGAAGAATTCGAGAATGCTTTGCTCACTTCCATAGCAACATGTCACTACTCGGCATCAACTTCTCTTGTTCAAGCACAAAGCCACCAACAAACACTCTTATTTGGCTATTGAAATTTGTTGATAGAAATGACTGTAGATATATTGACTGTAAACAGGTTATACACTTATTGATGAAGTATTTTTATAAACGCAATTTCATTTTTTATTATTAACCTTGTAAATCTAAAATGAAAGGTTTTCTGTCATGAATTGACTGTGAATGAAAATTGTCATTTTCTGATAAATATTTACAGTAGCTCATAGTAACTTACTTCCTGAACCGGTAAATGCAGATTGTAAATTTACCGAATCATTTAATTTTATTCGAGTTTCCTAAGATCCATTTAATGAGTGAACCTAAATTAAACTCATGATACTCAGAAAAAAATCTGCATGTAATCTGTTAAACTCATGAAAGTAGAGAAAGTTTAACTAGGCCTAGAGGGCAAGATTTCTTGAATCTGGCCAGTTCCAAAGTCCTAATTATAGGGAAGCTAAGTTTGTTATGTTCCCTCCATATAATTGATTCTCCATCTTAATTTTTCTTCTCTATTTCACTTTTTGCAACAAGGTTCTTAACTCGTGATGATCTTCAGCTGGAATCAGTGTCTGGTAAATTATTATTTTACTTCAAGAAGATCATCTCACAGTTGCTATTAACTTCTTAACCTGCTTTGAATGTTGTTCCACTTCTCATGAGTACTCTCCTAGCTTATATTGATTCTTGTAGTTCTTAGAGAGGATCTATAACCTCTGTAACTTATTGTTATAAACTCTTTCTTAGTCCACAGTAACTGCATTGATAAATCACAGAATTCACTATAAGATACATAGGACAGTAAGAAAAGACAAGCAAAATCCTTGGGAAAAATATTCTGAGAATGGGGCTTGGCAAAATCATTTGTTGCATATGAGGAACATTATGTGCAACATAATGAGCTTAGTTGATGGAATCTTGGCTAGTGAATATCTAAATAGACAAAATTATTTCCATAATTTGATTCAAGTAGTTGGTTTGAAAGAAGAAGCAGCCAAATTTCAAATCATGGTAATATGTGTTGAACGTTGATGCATGGCTGGAAATGCAGCAGTTTATTTAAAGTTTTTGAATGTGTGTTGGCAGCAAAATCTGAACTGAAGTTTGCCAGGGGTGTATTTGATATGCTGCATGTTTTGCTTATTTTGTAAAAGTGTGATATGCATTCCAGATTGTAAGGGATGTTCCGATGCAGCAGTTGGTAGTTGATATAAGTGTGTGGCTTTAGATTAATTTAAGTTATTATATGTCTGCACAGTAGGTATAAGTCAGTGTTAAACTTTGCTTTATTAGCTGTAATGTAAACATTTTTCGAAATGCAGAAAAACACAAGTTGATTCATTCAGTTTTAGCTCTCTTTCTTTTCTTTGTTAAACTCCAGTGCATAAACAATAACATGGTATCAGAGCCACTTTGATTCCAACCAAAAAACTGAAAATTTCTTCTCCAAAACAACTCATCCAGCTCTCTGAGAAACTGCATTGCATTAGACCTGGTTTCTCTTAAACAAATGACTACTCCAACAGCTTCCCTTCTACCTCCTGTGTTCAACGGTGAACACTACCATATTTGGTCAGTCAAAATGAAGGCTTACTTGAGGGGCCAAGGACTCTGGCAGTATGTAGAGGAAGAGAGACAACCCCCTCAACTGGGACCAAGTCCCACTCTCAACCAAATTCGAATGCATGAAGAGGAAGCATCAAAGGCTCCAAGAGCCCTGTCCCACATCCACTCAGCTGTCACAGACCTTGTTTTCACAAGGATTATGGCATGCGAAACAGCCAAGGAATCATGGGACAAGTTGAGGAAAGAGTTCATGGGAAGTAACACTACAAGAAACATGTAGGTTTTGAATTTCAGAAGGGAGTTTGAATCTTAATTTAAGAATACAGGAGGCTGAGAAAGTGAAAGAATATGTTAACAGGCTGATGAACATTGTCAACAATCAGATTACTCGGAGTGGAGATGTTAGACAGCAGAATAGTGGAGAAGGTAATGGTGAGCTTGCTGGAAAGGTTTGAAGCCAAAATCTCATCCTTGGAGGACTCAAAGGACCTAACTCAGATCACATTGACTGAGCTGGTCCATGCTCTGCAGGCACAAGAACAGAGAAGGCTCTTAAGGTTAGAGGATGCAAATGGAAGGGGAAATGTTAGCAACCTATAAGGGCAAGACTGGACAAGGGAACTGTAGGAAGTTTGCTGGAGAAAGAAGAGGAAAAGAAAGGGCTAATAACTAGTGGAACAAAACTGGTGGGATGAAGAGTTTTCCAGCCTGTTCTCATTGCAAAAGGAAAGGGCATGCAGAGCACAAATGCTGGTTCAGACCTGGTATACAATGTAGAGCCTGCAAGCAGTTTGGCCATGTTGAAAGAGTGTGCAAAAACAAGGGAGAGCAATCCCAACAGCAAGCTCAAACAGCTGATGAACAACAGCCAATGCAGGAGACAAAACAGCTGTTTGTGGCCTCATCAAATCTGGTCCAAACCTGTGATGATACATGGCTAATTGACAGTGGGTGTACACATCACATGACACCATACTTGAGCTGCTTTGTGAATATATATCACTCTCATCGATCAAAGATTAAAGTTGGGAATGGAGAGTGTGTGGAAGCAAGAGGCAAGGGAGATGTTGCAATCCAAACTCCAAAAGGTACAAAGCTAATCTCAAATGTACTTTATGCACCTAATATAAGTCAGAGTCTTTTGAGTGTGGGACAAATGTTGGAAAGGAATTATGCACTGCATTTTCAAAAACTGCATTATTCAAGACAGTGAAGGTAATGAGATTTTGAGAGTGAAAATGGTAGGGAAAAGCTTTCCAATAATGTGGAAAGTTACACCACACACAGCATGCAATGTTAGAGAGGATGAAACTGAAATGTGGCACAAGAGATTAGGCCATGTACACTATAGAAATTTGAGTGAAATGCAGTCTAAAAATCTAGTCCAGAATCTGCCTATTGTTGAGCAGCAAAGAGGTGTGTGCAAAGTGTGTCAACTAGGTAAGATGAGTAGGAAACCATTCCCAGTGAACCAAGCTTGGAGAGCCTTTGAAAAACTCCAGCTTGTTTACTCGGATGTATGTGGCCCCATGCAAACCTTATCACTCAATGGGAGCAAGTACTTTATATTGTTCATAGATGATTGGTCTAGGATTGGGTGGATTTACTTCCTAAGATAGAAAAATGAGGTGGCTGGAACATTCAGAAAATTCAAACTAGAAGTAGAAAATTTGACAGAAAAATCCATCAAAATCTTGAGAAGTGATAATGGCACTGAATACACTTCTCAAGAGTTTGAAAAAATCTGCACTGAAGTTGGAATAAGGCATGAATTCAGTAGCCCATACACTCCACAACAGAATGGAGTTTGTGAGAGCAGAAACAGGACAGTCATGGAAATGGCAAGGTGCTTAATGGCTGAGAAAAATCTTCCCAAACCATTTTGGGCAGAAGTAGCAAACACAAGTGTCTACCTACTTAACAGAATTCCCACCAAAGCCTTAAAAAACCAAACATCTTTTGAAGCATGGACTGGAGTCAGACTAGCAGTGGATGAACTGAAGATTTTTGGAAGCCTTTGCTACGTCCTAGTGCCATCTGCAAAGAGGACTAAGCTGGAGGATAAGGCTGTGACTGAAATATTTATTGGCTACAGCAGCCAATCCAAGGCCTACATGATTTACCTTCCTGACTCTAGAAAAGTGGTGGTGTCCTAAGATGTTAAGGTTGATGAGAGAGGAGTTTGGAACTGGGAAAAGGGTAGAGCTGATGTAGATACACAACCTCAATTGAGTGAGGTTCAACCTAATCAAATTGAAGAAGATTCAGGGGAGGAATCAGAAGAAGAAGTTGCTGTTAGGGGAACCAGAACACTGGTTGATGTGTATGACAGGTGCAACTTAGCACAAATGGAACCTACAAGTTATTTAGAGGCTGCACAATCAGAATCCTGGAGGAGTGCCATGAAGGAGGAGCTTGCCATGATAGAAAAAAACCAAACCTGGAAGCTGGTGGACAGACCAGAAAACAGAAAAGTTATTCAGGTGAAATGGATTTTCAGAAAAAAGCTGAATCCGGATGGGTCAATTCTGAAGCATAAGGCCAGGCTTGTAGTTAAGGGATTTGCTCAGCAGTATGGAGTGGATTTCCTAGAGACATTTGCTCCTGTTGCACGGCATGACACCATTAGGCTGCTACTTGCAGTGGCTGCTCAATTCTCCTGGAAAGTGTACCAAATGGATGTAAAATCCGCCTTCTTGAATGGCTGATTGAATAAGGAAATCTACATTGAACAACCTGAAGGGTATGTGATCCAAGGAGAAGAGGGAAAGGTGTATTTGCTTAGGAAGGCCTTGCATGGCCTAAAACAGGCTCTAAGGGCCTGGTACAGCAGGATTAATGACCACCTGCTGAACTTGGATTTTGTTAGGAGTCCAAATGAACACACTCTATACATTAGAGAAGCTGAAGATGACTTGATGATCATTTCTTTGTATGTGGATGATCTTCTAGTAATTGGGAGCAATCAAACTCAAGTGGATGAATTCAAGAAATCCATGCAAAGTGAGTTTGAAATGACTGACTTGGGTGGAATGTCTTACTTTCTTGGAATGGAGATTGATCAACAAGTGGATGGGATCTTTGTGAATCAAAAAAGGTATGCAAGTGAAGTTTTGAAAAAATTCTGCATGGAAAACTGCAAACCAGTAAATCTGCCTTTGGTTCCAAACTTAAAGCTGTCGAAGGATGAGGATGTTAAGAAGGTTGATGAAGGATTGTACAAGAGTTTAATAGGGTGTCTGCTGTATTTGACAGCAACTAGGCAGATTTGATGTATGCAACCAGTTTGCTATCCAGGTTTATGAGTAATCCAATTGAAACACACTTCAAAACAGCAAAATGGGTGAGGTATGTAAAAGGAAGTATTGATTATGGGGTGTGGTTCAAGAGATCAGAAGACTTCAGTTTAGTTGGTTATTCGGATAGCGATTGGGCTGGTTCGACAGATGATATGAGGAGCACTTTAGGATTTGCATTTTTCCTGAATCATGGTGCTATCTGCTGGCTTTCCAGGAAGCAGGAAACTGTGGCTCAATCCACAGCTGAAGCAGAGTATATATCCGCTGCCGCAGCTGTGAATCAAGCCATTTGGTTGAGAAAAATCCTTGATGATTTGAAGCTGAAACAGAACAAAGCTACTGCCATCATGTGTGACAATCTATCTGTAGTAGCTATGGCCAAGAATCCTGTGCAACATGGACACACAAAGCATATAAAAATAAAGTTCCATGCAGTGAGGGAGGCTGAGCAAAATGGTGAAGTGAAACTGATGCATTGCAGGAGTGAATTGCAAGTGGCTGACATTATGACCAAAGCTGTCTCCAAAGCCAAGTTTGAAGAATTCAGATTCAAACTTGGTTTTTCCAGCCAACCATCAAGGAGGAGTGTTGAACGTTGATGCATGGCTGGAAATGCAGCAGTTTATTTTAAGTTTTTGAATGTGTGTTGGCGGCAAAATCTGAACTGAAATCTGCCAGGGGTGTATTTGATATGCTGCATGTTTTGCTTATTTTGTAAAAGTGTGATACGCATTCTAGATTGTAAGGGATGTTCTGATGCAGCAGTTGGTAGTTGATATAAGTGTGTGGCTTTCGATTAATTTAAGTTATTATATGTCTGCAAAGTAGGTATAAGTCAGTGTTAAACTTTGCTTTATTAGCTGTAATGTAAACATTTTTCGAAATGTAGAAAAACACAACTTGATTCATTCAGTTTTAGCTCCCTTTCTTTTCTTTGCTAAACTACAGTGCATAAACAACAACAATATGTTTGCCTTTTGTTGCTTTCTCTGTCTCGTTTGTGTACAGTATCTAAATCATTTAGTCTAACATGGACACTTACAATAGTTTTGCATTGATAGTCACTGCACAAGGAAAGCACATGGGCTTGTGCCTTGCAATTACTGCTCTAAAAATTTGGCAGATTCTTCTAACCTTGTTGGTTTACATAAACATGCAAGATTTTGTGGCTCTGACCATATCTAGTCATTGGGTCCTACTTTTATCAAGTGATTTTTGTCTGAAATTATCAAAACATGGTTTTTGGATAAGCATATGATTTAGTTTTATTTCTATTTTCATAGGAAATTAATTGCTTAAGTTTAAGTGGCTCTTTGTGTAAGAAAAGAAATGCATAACAACCATGTGCTACTGCCCTACATGCAGCGTTGATGCTTAACAACAATCAAAATCTATGGCCGATATCCCAACCACCTATTCAGTTACTGATCACATGGCCTTATTTCCAATTAACACAACGTAAAAATGATAACAATAAGTCATCATGTCTATACTTGTGGATATATATAGCACAGCTAGCCACTGACTTCTGCACAGCTCATAGTTGTGCTTAAGATTAATAAGCTCTATAACTCAGAGTTTTAGTTTGTTCAAGTCTCATTCTGATTTTTAATCATGATCATCTCAAAGAAACTTTATAAACTGGCAAGGAAGTGGCAGAGAATGGCTTTGGTAAAGCATAGGAGAATCTCGTATCCAAGAAGTGTAGTTGCCGGTGAAGGCCATTTTATTGTGTACACGACTGATAAGAAAAGGTTCATGGTTCCCTTGGAATATCTGAGTCAAAATGTCTTCAGGGAGCTCTTGAGAATGTCCGAAGAAGAGTTTGGTCTTTCAAGCGAGGGAGCAATCATATTGCCTTGTGGTAGTACCCTCTTGGAGTATGTCATTTCATTGATCCAACGACACATGCCCGAAGAGTTAGAGAACGCTGTGCTCACTTCCATAGCAACATGTCGCCACTTGGCATCGTCTTCTCTTGCTCAAGGACAAAGCCATCAACAAACACTTATTTTTAGCTATTGAAACTTTTTGGTAGCAAAGATTCTTTTGTAGACTTATTGACTGTAAACAAATTATACATTTAACTTTTTGATGTGATGTAATTTCATTCATAATTTTTAATCTTGTGAATCCAAAAGGAAAAATTTTCCTTTCACGAATTGACTGTGAATGAGAAATGTTATTTTCGATTAAATATATCTAGTAACCAACAACAACTTCATTTTTTGGTGAATGCAAATTTTCATTTTACTGAATTCCTTTAAATTTATTCAAGTTTCTAGAGATCAGTTTAATCAGTTAACTTATTAAATACATAATACTTATAAAAGCAGGGCTGCATATAAGCTATGAAAGTTATAAAGGTAGAGGAGATTTAATGAGGACTGGAGGGAATGATTTCTTGAAGCTGAGTGATTGCCATGTCCTAACTACAGGGATTAGGGAAGGTAAAGCTTGACTACATTTTCTTGAATAACTGACACTAGGTATGTTCCCTCCATATGATACATTCTCAATCTGAATTTTCATTTTCTATTTCACCCTTTTCAAACGATTTCTTAGTTCCTGATCTCCATCAGGAATTAACCTTTGTTGAAAGTAGTTCTACTTCTTGTGACTTTTTTCCTAGCTTACATCGACTATTTCGGTTCTTAAAGGGATCTATAACTATTGTACTTTATTTCATGCACTCTTTTCTGGTTTGATAAATAACAGACTTCACTACAAAGATGCATAGAACATGGAGAAAAGACAAGAAAAATCCTTAGGAACAATATTCCAAGGAATGGGGCCTGGCAAAACTAACTCATTTGTTACATCTGAGGAACATTATGTGTAACACAACCAAATTGATAGAATCTTAGCAAGTGAAGATCTAAAGATGACAAAATTATTTCCATAATCTTATCCAAGCAGTTTGGTTTGAAAGTGGAAGCGGCGAATTTCCAAATTATGTTACATTTTTGGCCTTTTGTTGATTTTTCTGTCTTCAGTATCTCAGTCATATAGTCTAACATGGATAATTACAATAGCTTTGCATTGATAGTCTCAGCATAAGGAAGCACATGGGCTTGTACCCTGCAATTCCTGCTCTAAAAAATTGGTAGATTCTTCTAATCTTGTTTGTTTGCACAAGCATGAAAGATTTTGCGCCTCAAACCATATCTAGTCAGTAGGTCGTGATTTTCTCAAGAAGATTTTGGTCTAACATAATCTGAACATACTTCCAAAAACAACATGATTCTGTTTGATTTCTGTTTTCTCTGGGGAGGTTTAATGCTTAACTGGGCCTAAGAATTTTAATGCGTTCCTTATTGGCAGAGGAAAATATGTGTCACAACTAAAGTGATATTGGCCTACATGGGTGTTGATGGTCAACAATAATCTAAACATATGCTCAATATCGCAACCACTTATTCAGGCGATGATCACATGGCCTAACTTCCAATCAACACAACACAAGGAAGACAACAATGAGTGGTCCTGGCTATACTTGTGAATATATATATATCACAGCTGCCCGCAAACTTCAGCACAGCAAATAGTCCTGCTTAAAAACACAAGCTCCATAACTACTGGAGTTCTAGTTTTTCCGAGGTCTAATTCTAACTTGCAATCATGATCAACCCAAAAAGGCTTATTGAACTGGCAAGGAAGTGGCAGAGAATGGCTTCTGCAAAGCGTAGGAGAATCTCGTATCCAAGAAGTTTTGTTGCTGATAAAGGCCATTTTGTTGTGTATACAACTGACAAGAAAAGGTTCATGGTTCCCTTGGAATATCTCAGCCAAAATGTCTTCATAGAGCTCTTGAGAATGTTTGAAGAAGAGTTTGGTCTTCCAACTCAAGGAGCTATCACATTGCCTTGTGATGGTACCCTCTTGAAGTATGTCATTTCATTGGTCCGAGGATGCATGCCTGCAGAATTAGAGAAGGCTTTACTCACTTCCATAGCTACATGTCACCAGTTGGCATCATGTTCTCTTGCACAAGGACAAAGCCACTACCAACAAACACTGATATTTGGTTATTGAAAATATTTTTATAGCAATGACTCTGTAGACTTATTGACTGTAAACAGATTGTACAATTAGCTTTTGATGTGATGTAATTTCATTCATAATTTTTAGTCTTCTTAATCCGGAAGGAAACTTTTTTCTGTCAGTATTGACTGTGAATGAGAAATGTATTTTTCAGATGAATGTTTCTTGTAACCAATAGCAACAAACTATTTGTACTAGTGAATGCAAATTTTCATTCTACTAAATTCCTTAAAATTTATTTGAGTTTCTATAGATCAATTTAATCAGTTACCGTAGTTTACTCAGAAAAGCAGGGCTGCATATAAGCTGTGAAACTTATAAAGGTACTGAAGATTTAACGAGGACTAGAGGGAATGATTTCTTGAAGCTGAGTAGTTGCAATGTCCTAACTACAGGGAAGGAAAAGTTTGACTTGAATAACTGATTTTAGTTATGTTCCCTCCATAATCTTTTTCTATTTCACTCTTCGCAACAAGATTCTTAACTCCTAATGATCTTGATCTAATTTTAGTTTCTGGGATATAATATTAATCTTTAGGAAGAAGTCATCACACGGCTGCTATTTATTTAAGTCATTTTTTTCTATGAACATCTTAACCTGTATTGAAGGTAGTTCAATTTCTTAAGACTTTCCTCCTGGGTTATATCAAATTTTTATCTCTTAGAGAGGATCTGTAACTATTGTACTTAATAATAGAATTCACTTCGTAGATACATCGAACAGTAAGATAAGACAAACAAAATCCTTTGGCAAAATATTCCGAGGAATGCGGCTTGGTAAAACTAACTCATTTATTCCATATGGGGAACAATATGTGCAACATAATCAGCTTGATGGATTCTTGGCAAGTGAAGATCTGAAATAGACAAAATTATCTCCATAATTTGATTCAAGTAGTTGGTTTAAAGAAGAAACAGCCAAATTTCATATCGCGGTAATATGCTTGCCTTTTGTTGCTTTCTGTGTCTCATTTGTGTTCAGTATCTAAATCATTTAGTCTAACATGGATACTTACAATAGCTTTGCATTGATAGTCACTGCACAAGGAAAGCACATGGGCTTGTGCCTTGCAATTACTGCTCTATAAATTTGGCAGATTCTTCTAAGATTGTTTGTTTACATAAGCATGCAAGATTTTGTGCCTCAAATCATATATAGGTAAGTAATCATATATAGTAATTAGGTCCTGCTTTTATCGAGAAGATTTTGGTCTAACATAAGCTCAACATACTTTGAATAACAACATGATTTTGTTCGATTTCTGTTTTCTCTTGGGAAGTTTAATGCCTAACTTAAGTGGGACTGTTGAAGCATTGATAATTTGATGGAAAATTCAGTTAAGTCAGTTTATTTTTGAATGAGTGTTTGGTGCCAAGCAGCAGATGCATTCCCTCTTTTCTGCCGAAATTGAAGCTGCTGGAGTTGTTAACTTTTGTGTCATGTTTAGGTGTATTTAGTGTAAGATAAGTTTGTATTAAGTTACCAACTTTGTTTTTGAAATTTAAAAGTTTGAATGGTTGTTGTAGTTGGTAAAACAGTAAGCTTTGTTGTGTATATATTGCAAGTTACAGTATAATGAAAGAGTGCAGTTCACTTTCAGCATTTTTTCTCCTTTTCTTTCTTAGAGTTCTCCGGCCAAAAACCAACAAATGGTATCAGAGCTTTACACCAAAACAACCTGAAATCTCTCTTACACTTAGTCATCAACCTTTACTCAAGAACACCTCCCATTTTCAGCCCAAAACAACCTGCATCTGCACCTTTGTTTACCCTGCGTCAGACACGAAACTTGAGACAATGGCTGCTCAATCAGCCCTGATGTCACCTCCAGTATTCAATGGGGAGCACTACCACATATGGGCTGTAAAGATGAAGGCCTTCCTCCGAGGTCAAGGGCTGTGGCAGTATGTGGAAGAAAATAGATAGCCACCTCCTTTAGGACAGAATCCTACCCTGAACAAAATGAGATTGCATGAGGAAGAAATAGCCAAAGCAGCAAGAGCTCTCTCCCACATTCATGCTACTGTAACAGACCTTGTATTCACAAGGATCATGACATATGAGACTCCAAAAGAGGCATGAGATAAGCTGACAGTGGGTGGTTGACAGTGGGTGTACAAACCATATGACACCACACTTGCAGGATTTTGTGAGATTAAACTCAGCACATCGGTCTAGGATTAAAATGGCAAATGGTGATTATGTTGAAGCAAAGGGGAAGGGAGATGTTGCAATCCAAACCTCCACAGGTACAAAACTCATCTCAAATGTTTTATATGCACCCAAAATTACTCAAAGCCTCCTAAGTGTAGGACAAATGTTAGAAAACCATTATGTTTTACATTTTGACAATCAAATCTGTCAAATTTTAGATAGTAAGGGGTGTGAGTTAATGAGAGTCAAAATGGTGGGAAAAAGCTTTCCCATCAAACTGAAAAAAACTGAACATAGGGCCTTCAGTGTAAAGGTAGATGAATTTGTAAAGTGACATAAGAGACTTGGTCATGTCCATTACCAAGGTCTCAAAGAAATTCAGACCAAGAAGCTACTCCATAACCTGCCTGAATTAGAGGAGAGTGATACCATGTGCAAAGCTTGTCAACTTGGCAAGTTGAGTAGGCAATCGTTTCCCGCAAATCAAACCTGGAGAGCAACTGAAAAACTGCAACTTATTCATACAGATGTGTGTGGTCCCATGGAAACCTTGTCATTAAATGGAAATAGATACTTTGTGTTATTCATTGATGACTATTCTAGGATGTGTTGGGTGTATTTTTTGAAGCAAAAAGGACAGGTTGCTGGTGTATTCAAAGAGTTCAAGCTTCTGGTGGAAAATCAGGCAGAAAAAACCATAAAGATCTTGAGAAGTGATAATGGTACAGAGTACACCTCTCAAGAGTTTGAGCAAGTGTGCAAAGATGCTGGAATTAAGCACCAATACAGCAGCCCCTACACTCCATAGCAAAATGGAGNAAAAAAC